GTCATATGTTTCATACACTTCAATATCGGGTTTTCTGATCCGTCGTTACAAAACCACAAACTGTATGGCTGGATCGTGATCTGTTTTATTCGTTTGATCGACAGTTTTGCGCAGGACGGATGAAAGTGCTTTAGACAGTGATTGCAGGCAATACCCGACTTGACGTCCTTTCCGCATGTCAACAAACCACATACTCCTAATCCTTGTGTTGCACTTGGTGCGTCAGTCCCAAGCACACTACGACGGAGCATTTTGACCGAAGATGACCCGGGAGACGGTAGACGAATGACAGGTCAACTTCTGATCTGCTGGGTCGACCACACGATAAGGGTCAACTGGTGCGTATCGATCGATGCGGTCGGCGATGGAGATACAGACACGTGCGTGAGAGGATAACGAACAATGACACAAGTATTTTCCACAAATTGATCCGTAGCTTTCTTGCAGATGTGCACATAGAGCTGATTAGCAACTCGTTGAGTAGAGTGGGAATTTATCTTCACAATGGTATCACAATAGTGCTGGTGCGAAGAACAACAAAAACTTTTGCGCGCGTAGATATTTTCGTTAATTCCGTTGAAATCGAAAATATGGCCAAATAGCTTGGAACCGGGAATTTATATCCAAAAGATATCTATCAGAAGATAGAGCTGGTGAAACAGTGTAAGATGAGCCCAAGCTCGATGCTGTAGGAATCGTTTTGGCGGAGTAAACGCACAAAACCGAGAGCACACAAATAGACCGTCCGTTATGCACTAATATACATAACTTGATAGGAACCCATTGAAAACGTGCCAAATAATCTTTGTATGACATTCATATCTCAGGATACTGGCGACAGATGGACATGCTATTATGTTCAAGTTGGGTCCGTTGCTGGACGGGAGGCTTCTAATGGCTTTACAGTCCACTTTGTATCTTCCACATCTGCGACAGAACCATATGTTGTAATTGGTCTCGTCAATATACAATTTCAGGATTGCGTTGCCCGATCTCTGTAACCGATCGGCATATTCCGGTGGCTTCACTTTAACAGCTTCCGAGTTCCGTTCCATGGGCTGGATGGTCGGCTTCTTAATTGAATAGTGATGTCCATCCAGCAATCGATCAATGGAAGACTTGCTGATAGATCTACACGGGTACTCCGTTTCCATGCGTTCCTTTAACTGCCTCAACGTGGCTGTAGGGTTCTCATCGACAACATCACATAAATGTTTTGTGAACTCGTCGTTGAATTTAGTCTTATAAGACCCAGGTTTTCGTGTTAATTCCCGATCCGTGGCTGCAATAGCACGATATGTTTTGATCTTAATGNATCTTAATGCCGAGGTGTTTTGCAACTTATTTCAAATCATCACCTCGGCGTGCACATTCAACTACTCTTCGTCGATCTTCCGCACTGGTGAAATGATAGGGCCTTTTCTGTCCATCCGACTTAACGTTCTCCATATTGCAGATGAGTGTAATGTTAGGCAAGGTACGACAAATATTAAGGCCACCTATCGTGGTGGGTTTTTATAGCCCCGTTACCGACGAATCGAATACCGCATGACGAGACTGCAGAGAAAATCTGAGATGCACTACTCCTGTGAATGAAAATCTCGAATGTAGCACAACCAGTACATTGTTTTTTTGCGTTCACAAGCCCTGAAGTAAATTTTTAAAAATGGTACCACAAAAATGTAAATGCTCACCGTTCCGTATCTACACTTCAAGTGAACTCTGTTCATGAGAGGTGGATACATCCCAGTCCGAGGGTACTAAACACCGTTTACGAAAATACCCCCCCCCTTACTAGCACCAGTTAATTAGCACTGCAACAGTTGACATAATTACCACAGTCCAGTTGAAGTATTACGGGTTTCGTCTGACGACTGATAGAGAAGGAGTACTGGAGGGAGTGTCTTTTGTGAACGATGGTTATTATCCACGGTATATTATCGTATCCAAATCTCATGAACAATATTCACATGTGAATGCAAAACAGTGATTAAAGCTTGTGCGTTGAGGTTGAAGCACTAGGGGGAGGAGGGAGTCGTGTCTAAAGAATTGCAGGATTTGGCTAAAGGAACGCGGGTCGAGGTTAAAGGATTGTGGTTTTTGGTTAAAGTTTGAGAGACGTCTGTTTGGTTTTAGCTCAAGCATGACTTGCTTCTTAGTTTGAGGCGTCCGTGACACTTCACGACTTCAACCTTTCTCTTAACGGTCAGCCTGGAAGAGATCTTCAGTAAGTTCAAACCGGTGAGCGATTTTAATCCTTTAATTCGCTTATTATTTAGTGCATTAAAAAC